AGAGAATCACGACGACTACGTCCTAGTGGCGAGCGTGAACGTGAGCGCGTACGGCGCGATGGACGAGAACGTGAGCGGCGATATGGTGATCTGGAACGCGAAGAACGTCTGCCACGTGAACCGCGTCTGCGCCCCCCACGTTCAATAGAACGTGAACGAGAACGGCGACGGCTACCCCGGCGGCCACGCGAAAGTGAACGATATCGGCTGCGACTGCGGCTACGTCGACGACGCTCTCGTGATGGTGTACGCGAACGAGAGCGCGATGAAGGGCTTTTTTGTGCCAAAGGTGTTGCAATGCGTAAGAAACCGATTTTGTCCACAGTAACAGGCCGCTTAATTTGAAACGATAATTTTGCAGGCTCATGTTTTGATGCTGCAGCGGCTGCCGCGGCCGATGTACTCGGATAGCTAGAATATATGGACGATGATGATGCGCCATAACTAGATGTAGGCTGGTTGGGCAAACGCATTGAGGGTGCGCGAGGTGGTGGCGTCTCTGAGCGTTCGCGCCCTGCCATCCCAGCTTCAATGGATTCCACCAACTCACTTTGGCGTTTTTTAATCTGAGCGATGGTCTTTTCATACTTTTGCAAATTTTCAGTGAGCTTATTCTCGATGTTCATGCTGCTGATCGCTCTGGGTTATTGATTTCACAATAATTTGATTATTAATTTGTTAAGACAATTCAAAAACTTACTTGTAGGCATCTTGGAAATTGATTTTGCTTAATAATGACGCAGCGTTTTTTTCTTTGCGACTAACTTTTTTGGATTTCTTGCTCTTTTTCTTTTTTGTTTTCTTTTTTTCCTTCTTATGTTTGGAAGCTTCTTGCAATAGCTTGCGTACACGAGAACCAGTGTCGTCATCATCCAGCTGAAAAAAAAATGTCAATAAGAATATTTCTATTAACCCTTGAAATCGCAGAAGTCTCCTACCCGAAATTCATTAATATCCCTTGGAGCCACCACGGGTTCAGGTGGCACATTATATGCACTCATATAAAATGGCTGGTTGAGTTGTTTCTTAGATTCTTCCTCCTTTTGTAGGCTGGCGACATGTAAAGCCATACGCTTGCTAAGCGGTGAAAGTGAACTTTCCTTGCCATTCTCTTCGTTATCTGAAATTTGAGCGTACCGGTAGTGAGTTTAAGCGATTGGTACATACAATTTACATATATTTCTAAACATTGCAATTCCCTTCATAAGATAGCCAAAAACAAATGCTATAAAATAATCAAGGCTGCAAAATAAAAAAGAAAAATTAATATATGTAAATCAAAAAGATTTCCTCACCCGAGGGCTCAGTTTCGGAGCCGCTGCCACTAGATGTTGAACCTTCACCACTCGATGAATCATGCACAGAGATTTTTTCCGTTTCCCTTTCCAAATCTAGTTCTTCTTGCTCGCCTTATGTACACACAACAAACAAATAAACGAAACACGTTCATAGTAAAATTTCCGATTCAGTATAAAATTTGAATAATTTGTTATGCTACCTGGCACAGTTACCACATTCTCAAAATATGGAACACTGGTACGCTGCTGAATAGCTTCAAGCGACAAGCGCGCTTGCTCATGGTTCGGTATAATATTTAAGCAATCCTGATAAGCTTTTGTTGCATCCTTTATGCGGTTCTCGTCCTCATAACGACGACCAAGTGCCACCAATGTCTCTCCCATATATTTACGTGCGTTTACATGATAGGAGTTTAGTTTAAGTGCCTTTTCAAAATCATCCACAGCCTTGAGAAAGGAGCCCTTATTGGCGTAGAGTGCTCCGCGCGCCACTAAACCTTCTACATTCCGCGGATCGATGGAGAGTGCTTTGTTGAGACACTGAAACGCCTCCACGTGGTTTCCATTCTTAAAATGTTCAATGCCTTCCGCAACCGAGCTGTTTATGTTTTTTTTTTAATTTTGTGTTTTTTTTTTTAATGTATAGAATTGAATACAAAATTGGTTTAATAAAACTTCTAAAATGAAAACCAAATTTTAGATAATGTTGATAAAACCAATCACTCACCGAAAAGCCCATTTGCTCGCCTGAGTGCGACGCAGTTCCTTGGCGTACTCATTCCGCGGAAACGGATTTTTTAACGAACTCATATAAGTGTATGTCTCGTTTACGTCTAAGCCGACGATTTCATAGAGCATATCATAGTTTGGATTTAAAAATTCCTTTGACTTGAGCATATACTCCTCGTATTTTTCCAACTTATTCTCATTGATTTGTCTTTAGGATGAGTAAAATTGGAAAATTTATGAATAAAAGTTTGGTAGTATGAAAAGATGAAGCCACGAAGAGGTGGCAGTGTGCTAAGCGCGCTTGTTGCCGATTCGCTAAAATATACATAATTCACGAACTGCTGCCGTCTCTTGTGGTTATATTTTTTGTCAATATAAATTTATTCCTAATACTTACCTGTAGTATTTTGGCAAATCGGCTTGTGTCACGACTCCCAGCGTAACATCTTTATTTTTTTCATGTACACTTTCCAAACTCAAGTAAATGCGTTCAGCATCTACAGATGTTTCTAATACTTCACATCGCACTAGATCGTTTTTGCTGAAAAGGCGCGGTTTGCCGTTACTATCCAATCCAGCTTTCATTAAGTAAGCCTGAGAAGTTGAATAAAAAAAAAAAAACATTTCTTACATTTCGTTTGATTAGAAAAATATATATGCTTTTTACCTTTATGGGTATATCGCTCAGGTAGCGTACCATCGGCTCTCCCATGCATAGCGGATGTACCATATTTGCAGTAGGTTTTGTTACCATGCAATATATAATATCGCCAGGTTTTAATGCTTCTAGCACGCACCGACATCGCTTTTGTTTGTCCTTATTCTTGTTAACGAAAAGTTCATAAGGTGGTAGCGAAGCTATATGCTGCTCATCTGCAAACGGAGAGCATGTATTCATAGATTGCTTATAAAGTTTGTTTAAAAACCCATTCCATACAAACTTATGGCAACCGAAAATACTAAATTCACGTTTTTAGCAACATATTCTTTCAATCGCTTCTCCGGAACATATTGCTGAATAATTGAAGTATGTTATCTATCCATAGTGGCTAAATTGCCCCTTATACGTATTTAGATAATCATACATACATATATGCATGCAACTGCTTACACAAAATATAATTTTTTTTTTTTTTTTAATTTTTTATTATTTAAAATCTCTACTTACTTTCAATGACTTTATCAAGTTGCAATTTGTTGCTGCTCAAGTCCGTGTCATATAAATCGGGCGCCTTGCGCGCAAAAAATTGGTGCAATTTAAGACGCTTAGCGCGGTCTTGAAATGTAAAATACTTCTGACGCTCTTGGTAGATTGAGTAGTCGGGCTGGGCGGGTACACCGCACTGCTGCAGGCTTCCAGCGCCGCGCTCATCTTCCCAAATCTTTTGCATGGGCTGGCCATGGAAACACAAAGCACGCGTTATATAATTCGAATTCATTTTGTTGGCACTACTTTTTTTTTGCTATTTAACGTTCAATATTTCACTTTACAAAACTCTTTTGTGGTAAAAAAAAAACCGGCCGCGTATTCACGTAGTTTAAGGGGGAAAACGTATTTAGGTTAATTTCGCCCCCGTATGCACTAATACGTAAATTCTTTAATTAACTTCATCACTGGTGCATCTGCAACATGAAAATAAATAAACTTAATAGAAGTTAATCTAATTAATGCAATATATTATGGGGTGTGTATGGAAGATGCTGGAATTCTGGAATTTTGGCCGCAGAGGATTCGCGTTGTCGTCGCGGCGCTTGTAGAGAATTTGCTGTATCCGGTTTTTGCGCCTACCTCTCTCCTATTTTCGTCTGGTTGACGACAATTTTTCACTTGCCCTTTAAAGCTACTTGGCTCGAGCTTGCTTGAATTTTTTAGTTGCAATGTAGAGCTAAACTTGTTCTTTACTTACAGTCAACAAAATATTTATTAAATTAAAATATTTAAAAGCTTTTATCACCGAAAAATGAGCAGGAATAAATTTTTTCACTAGCTTTGCAGTGAAGGAAAAATGTCAGATACATTTTGAGCGATGCTTCACGATAGGTTGCTACTGTGAATGAAAAAATTGTTTTGGCGTCATCGTATTGGTAAAATGCTTGCGGGCATATAACGAAAAACTGTTTGTTCGTCGAGCGTTTGTTCGTTCGTCGAACAACTGTTCATAATAGATTTTTAAATATTTAATATTCATAAATATTTTAAAATATTTAATATTTTCTTTATTTCTGTCAGCCTTTCCAATAAAACTTTATAGCATGCATTCTACATGCATATATATGTGTGAAAATACGTGCATGTATGTATGTTATATCATAGCAACCCTATTTCAAAGTGATATTAGGTTTGTATAGTTACTTCTCCAGTAAAACATTGCAGCGAGAGCGTAAAATCAAAATAGAGCGAAAAATTGAGAAGAAGAGAAAACTAGCAGAAAAAGTTAATGAACACAAAACTAGCAAAAACTTGCAAATGAATAGTGGTTGCACTGTCTTGACATTCTGCTGTTAACATTTTACTATTTATAAATCAGTTTTAAACTCTTTGCTTCACACACAAGCACTTACACTGCCCAGTACATCATGAATATTTTAATTCCCACTCATTTTACTTTTGTTTGTGCTAAACCGATTCAACAAATGGCGGCTTTTGACTTTTATTCTTCTTCTTCTGCTAGCTAATTTCTGCTAGTAAAATTTTCACTAGCAAGAATTTGCAGCTCTCGCGTGTTACGCTGTCGATTCAGTGCTCTCTTGCAAATTTTTTGGGTTATCATACACTTTTCCAGTAAAAATTTGCAGGTTCCAGTACAATATAGTACTGACTATTAGTTACTATACAAACCTATTGTTTGCGTCTTAGGGCCGGTTACTCAATGTCTGGTTAACACTAATTTCCGGTAAAACATCGTTATCTACGTTACCGACTCAATGTTATATGCATGGAGCCGTACACGTCGATAATGATGTTTAAACGGTGATTAGTGTTAACCAGACATTTAGTCTGTTCCTTTGAACTTCGGACTAAAACCTGTGGAACTGTCAAACTACAATTTTACGCTCTCAAATGAGAGTAAAAGGAGAACAGATGCAGAAGTGCATAGGAACGCAAAAAGCACTATTTCCTGTAAAAACGTCAGACGGTTTGTTTATATGTCATTGGTACTACACTGATTTGGCTGAAATATCAGTAAATAATTACTAAAATCTATACATATTCAAATATTTCGTTGTTTACTTCCATTTTTTTTTAAACAAATATAAGGTTCTTTGCTTTCACCGCTTTCTGTTTTTGTTTGCACATGTAAATCAGCTGATCGTTTGACACTTTTCATGAACTTACAGGAAAAAAATCTCCGGACTAAGGGCCGGTTTCTCTATCTCCGGTTAACACTAATCCCCCGTTAAACATCGTTACCGACCTTATCGACTCCCTGTTATATGCATGGAGTTAGAACGTCGATAACAATGTTTAACCAGGGAGTTAGTGTTAACCAGAGATGGAGAAACCGGCCCTAAATCCTGTAACTTCTGACTAGGAACAGTTGCGCAGTTACTCTCTCAAATGTGTTCCCACTTACAGGTTTTATGTCAATAGGAACGACTTCCTGTAAGTTCTGACTAAATCCTGTAAACCGGACTGCTATTGGAACAGACTAATTGAGTAACCGGCCCTTAATGTTTATTTTTAAGAATTTTAAAATAAAATACAGTTCATTCTCTAAAAAAGACACATATAAATCCAAGTTAAAACCTTTGTAAAGAAAATAACAAAATTTTCACACAAATTTCAAACTTTTTTTCTCAGAAGTGTTAGAATTTTAATGAACGTACAGTTGTGTAGCCCATTCAATAATGTCCAAGTTTTAAATGGTTAAAAATTACTGTTGATTTTTTAGATTTTTTGTCGCATTTGCTTCCATACTAAGATACAATTTAATGGGCAATACCAATATATACTCACAAGAAATTCTAACACTTCTGAGAAAAAAGTTTGAAATTTGGATGAAAATTTGTTGCATTATTTTTTTTTTCTACAAAGTTTCAAACTTGGGTTTTAATGGGTTTTGTTAAAGAATGAATTGTGTTTTAATTGAAAATTCTTAAAATTAAATAAACATAAGTTGCAAAAATACCACCTTGAGATGGCTATTAGACTATGACTATGGCTATGACTATTAGATTATATTAAATATATACATACCTACTGTTATGTTAAGTCCCTAGATTGCAAAAAGTTATATCCTGTTATAGTTTTATTTTTTAAGAATTTAATTTTCATTCATTTTTACTTCCAGCTATAAAAGTTCAAATCACCGGCAAAGGTAAATGCAAATGGATGGAAATATTGCGTAAGAATTCCAACAACGAATCAGCGCGTAGTCTCTTCTATTCCAGCAAAGAAATTTATGCGCACAACGAACACACACTTCCCGTCTTTGAGCCGCGTGGCATTGAACTGAGTCCCGGCGAGCATACATTCGAATTTACAGTACCACTCGAATGGAACCTACCTTCCAGTTTTAAGGGTAGCTACGGCTCCATCAAGTATAAGCTGCGCTTACTCATCCAACGACCATGGACCTTTGATGAACGCCATATAATACCATTGACGATATTGAAACATATGCCACTCTCGTCATGTTATCGATCGAATCCCACCTCGCTGGAGAAGCAAATCACCAAGACTATTAGTCTCTTTGGCACACGTCCCATCACAATGCTGGCATTGTTGCCCGAAGATTCGGCGGTGCGTGGCGAGCCATTGCGCATTTGTGTCACAGTTACTAACAACAGCACAACGAATGTGGAAAAGTTACGTTTCAGCGTGCTACAATATATTTGGTATTACAGCCATGTACCGTTGCGGGTGCAGAAAATGGAATGCGTGACAATTGCCAATAAAGAGACTGGTGCAGTGCACAAGAAGAGCGAACGTTCCTTCGCGCATGAGCTGATGATACCGCCCACAGCGCAGCCAACAGACGATGAACTGAGTGGCGTAATAAATATATCATATGAATTGCGCGTCGAAGCGGTACTACGTGGCTTCTTCAAGAATCTTGTACTTAATTTGCCCTTTAAGATGTATTCACGTAGTACTGGTGGTGAGTTGAATAACTTATCTGGTCGTCCACCACGACCACCACCACGATATGGCAATCGGAATAGTGTCAGCATTGGTATGGTAGCAAACGTAACAACTAGTAGTGCTGGAAATCCATTTGAGAATAGCGGCACTCCCCTGACTGTTGCAACTTATCCTTCGCTCGACTCATCAATCGGTTCGCCATCTCACTCATCACAATACAGCGAATCCAGTTCAATACATTCGATCACTTCCGACTCCTCGGCGGCCACCTTGAGCCCCGCTGTATGTGCCGCAGAACTCTCGTACGCTTCAGGTACATCATCGCAATTCAATAGTCCTTCGGCGCGTGCTAGTCTACGCAGTTCAACGGTGCCCTATGTCATGTATCCACCGAGCAGTAGTCCTCTCATGATTAACTCTTATCCGCCAGCACAAGTGCCCACATATCCGCCGCTCTCTGAATCGCCTGGTTATTCATTGATGCAACTGCCAGCAGGTGTGTCGCCGCCGCCGCCACCACCTACAGAAATGCCTTCGCCTACTGCGTCATTGACAACTACACTGCCACGTCAGGAATCTTCCACATCGTCGACGTCAGCTGCAGCGCGATCGTCGTTTCTGCATGGACTACATCCGCCAGGAGCGCACGAACTGCGTAAGTGGGGTCGGGGAGGGAAGGAAAGAAAACATATTTATTAGTATTTGAGAGCTATTTTAATAAAATAGTTTGTAATAATTTCTAATAACTTTCTTTCCTCTTACCAGCACCTTCCTATGAAGAACTCTTCGGCTCCGCCACTGCGCCACCTGAGACGCCCAAATGATACAGTGACTATTTGTAAGAAATATTGTAAGAAATATAAATTTCGCATCTATTCGAAACACATTTAACTCAATAGTGAAAGAAGTATACTTTAAGGCGCCAAAAGTTACTAAACCCACCCAGAAATGTAAAACGTATGGACTGCAGGACATGCCTATTTTTACGGTGGGCAAACCCGGAAAAGCACTGAACAAATTTGAATGTGAATTAGTAATAGTTGTGCAAACCCGATTAAAGCTCTCGAACAAAATTTGGTAAAACATATCGTGAACATAAATAAAAATTCACGGTATGCGTGAATTAGCGTTAACATTTAAGGCTAAGCCAGTTAGTTTTAAGACATACATATAGTGGCGTTCAAAATAATTGCAGGAAAATTCAAGACGATGCTGTTGGCAACTTATCTTTATTTAGTTATTGTTAATTTTCATTTAAAATATGGGTCGATCTATATCAGATACCAAATAAATGAAAGTTTCAAAGCTTATACAAGTTTCAAAAAAATTTGTCAAACTTTAAAAAGTTGTCATCAAAATTTCAAACTTTTTAATCGGAATTTTTAGAAAATTTTCGGCCCATATTTTAAATGAAAATTATTAACAATAAATAAATAAAGATAAGTTGGCAGCAACATCATTTTGAATTTTGGTATTATTATTTTGAATACCACGTCATATATGTATGTACGCAACATTGAAGTTGCAATGCTTTTAGCACAAAATTATCGCACGAAAAAAATCACAGTTTTTCGCTTGAAGCTTAATACGCTAGATATGTATCTAGCTAGTAGTTTGACTTATCGAATAGATGAAAATCTCAGTAGTAAATAACATAAAGACTCGAGTTTCCAACAAAATTAAGTACATATAGATTTTTGTGAATTAAGGTTAAGGTTTCGGTGACAGCGAATTTTACTCGCGCGGGTTCACTAACTTCGC